CGTCATAGGTGACAGTATCACGCCATATGTTCACTGCACCCATACTACCAAGTCTGTATTTCAGTGTTGATGCTGTTACTTTGTCAAACACTGGTTGTCCACGAACTGGTGGCAATTGAAGGATGTCACCAACAAAGAGGACATTCTTGCCACCAAACCATTCGTCTAATTCGAATAAGTCATTCATTCTCATGTGTATGTAAGTGAGATTGAGGCTAGAAACCATGGACACTTCATCAATGATTACCATTTTCAGATCCTGAAGTTCTGTTTTCATTACTTTGTGACTAGCCTTTGGTATGGATCAGTATGAGGCACATTGTCCATCGAGTTCTATTGGCAGCTGAAACAGTCTGTGTGCTGTCACACCACCCACATTGTAAGCTGCCAATCCTGTTGGAGCACAAACTGCACATGTCTGTTTGGTCAGTGTTGACCAGAGGCTTTTCACTAGTGCTTTAATTGCCTCAATAGGAAAAGATTTACCAGTGCCACCTACACCACTGATGAACATGTGCAACGGTTTTACACTTTCTGATTGCTCCTTCTCTTGTTTCGATTTATTTTCTTATTCAATTTGCCTCAAGACATGAGCTTTTACGTGATCAAAGATGCGTTTCTGGTCTACATTTAGCATCGATTCTCCCTCTTGCAGAGTGAGACCAGATCCAGTGTCCATATCTCTCACGTCATTCATTGCATCTTTAATCTGTCCCATCAGTTGTGGATCATCGTCGTCCACATCATTTTCCTCTTCTCTGTTTGCTGCTCTGGCATCTTGTATGTCTTTTAATTTCTCTCTACAGTTGAGCAACTTTCTGAATTTCTCATTTGCTTCGACACACCTTTCGTGATCGACAATGTGGCGATCGAATGCTTCTTGGACAGTTTCGCCATCATGAACTAATTCATCCTCATTTCTAAACGGCACGAAAAGGAGAATGATGGCATAATAGAAACTGTCTCTCTGATTTTCTTTATAGACATCGAAATCAATAAAGTTAGGAAGGCGCTCTTTCTGTAGTGGTCTATAGATTGGTTCACCATTTTTATCTTTGCCCTTGTAAGTGAGTTTGGCTACAAAGTCATAAAGGCAATATTCTTCATGTTCTTGGGCTCTGTTTGGATAAAAGTGAGTGACAAGGCCCTCCCCATAAAAGTCTTCAGTTGATGGATCGTTTGCTGCTATTTCTTCAACTTCACTGAGTTTCTTTGTTAAATTTCGTTTTCTTTTATGTGGCATTTCTACATCGATCCATGATACCTCTCTCGATTTTCTACAAAGTGGCTCACCAAGTAATATATCACATGTTTCATATAGTCCAATGGGTCAGCTGTCGAGACATCTTATGCCGATTCTAAACAATTTACTGTAGATGCCTCTATCATCTAAGATGTCTTGCCACAGATCCTGCATGTGACCTCTTTCTGCCTTTGTCACATAGTCACTCACATAATCGGCCAGAGCAAGAGAACACTCACTGGTAAAGGATACATCGATATTAGCCTTCCATAATAATAGAAGCAGAGGATTGTAATCATTGACTCTCACTTCTTGCTCGCTCCGTTTAAGGTGATATATCCTTTTCTCTGCTTTCATGCTTTGTTGGACATTTT